CCCCACGGGGGCATGCGCACTGTTCTCCCCACACGGGGGCACGCGCACTGTTCCACCCCACGGGGGCACGCGCACTGTTCCCCCCCACACGGGAGCACGCGCACTGTTCCCCCCACACGGGCACGCGCACTGTTCCCCCCCACACGGGCACGCGCACGCTGTCAAGAGCAAGTGAACCACATCCAAGCCTGGATACCTGGTGGTGGCGTCCAGGAGGAGGCAAAGAGAAAGACAGGTTTTGCCAGGAAAATAGTTGTGAGATCACCCAGTGTTGAAATGAAACAGCACACTTAAAAACAGTGCCTGAGCTGGGGCTGGGGTTGTGGCTCAGTGTAGAGCGCTCGCCTAGCATGCACGAGGCACGGGGTTCGATCCTCATCACTGCAAAAATGTAAAATGAAGATATTGTGTCCACCTAAGATCTACGAATGAATATTAAAAAATAAATAATAAAATAAAAATGATGCATGAGTCCACGAAGAGATCACAATGGAAATGGGCTCAAGTGGGGAGGAAATGAGACATTTTGAACAAAATGGAAATGGGATCACGACACGTGGGAATCTAGGGGACACAGCGGCCAGCACCCAGGGGAGAGCGTGGCTTTCAGTGCTGTTGGAAGAGGAGGAGGAACCCTGAGGCCAGTGACCTAAGCTTCTACCTGCAGCAGCAGGACAGGGAGAGGAGCGGAGCCCTGGAGTGACAGGAGGGAAGACCAGCCAGGCAGGGTGGCCGACAGAGAGGGCCAGCTGAGAGGACTGAGCCTGCTCCCGAAAGGTCGACGGGTGGACCGCGCTCGCGTCTCGCTGCAGAAAAGGAAGCAATGAGTCGCCAGCATCAGAGTCGTGGACACACGCAGCACCGTCATGCCCACCCTCGGCCTCTTAGGTAGAACGGGCAAAGACACACATTGCAAAGTCTAGCTCAAGAAAACACGCAAGACCTGAATAGCTCTGGACCAATTTGAGGGACTGAATGCATAATTAAAATGCCCACCCCAGTGGCTTGCCGCCGACTCTCGGCACGGGTGGAAGCCGTCGCGCCAACGGCACCTGTGGAGAGCAGGGCTGGGACTGGGGGTCCCTGGCTGCCCCACGGCGCTGGCGCACCTGCCGCCTACGAATGTCTCTGTGCAAGGGCACGGGATGCCCGGTTGCTATGGTGACGCCCCACCCCAAGCAGCTCTGTGCGTGAATCTTATGACGACCCGACCCGGTGTCAGGCACAGAGCTCCTCTTCCGAGGGGCGAAGACAGCTACGTTGTTTCACCGCTGCGGCTACTTCCCAGCCGTGGGCTTCCTGAGTGCCGCAGGAAGCTCAGAGCATTGCAACAGTGAAGCAGCTACAGGAGTCTCAGGCCCTGTGACTTTCTAGTGCACAAAGCGTCATGCTCCACAGCCCTTGCCTCCTGACTGTGAGACCCTGGCACACCTGCAGGGCCGGCTCTTCAGAGGCTGCTTCCCTCTCAGACACAGTCTCCCATCTGGCCTCAGGTGTCAACCATCGCATCCGTGTGTGCGTGTGTGTGTGTTTCATTGCTCCCCACCAGTACCTGGGGTTTAGCTGTGCAAGTCGCAGCAGGTACCCAAAGGGCAGAGAGCAGAACCAGAAGGGAAGCTCCAGCTCCCTGTGTGAGAGCGGCCCAGCCCGCACCAGGGGCCGGCGGGCAGCGAGAGAGGGGCAAGTGTGGACAGCAGTGTTCTCAGCAAAGCCTCGGCAAGCCAAGTCCCGAGACACGCTCTGGCTGGTGAGTGTGAGTCAGGAACGTTAGGTGAGCTTTGCACCCAGAATCAACCCGTGTGTCATGTTAGTAAGTAAAAGGATCGGACCCCAGGACTGTGTTGATAGATGCAAAAGAAGGCATTTGAAAACCTGCTCATTAAATAATAATGATAAGAGCTCCCAGCCGAGCGCACTGGCCAAGCCTGCAATCCCAGTGACTCGGGAGGCCAAGGCAGGAGGATGGCAAGTTCCGGGCCAGCCTCGCAACTTAACGAGACCCTGTCTCAAAATAAAAAATAAAAAAAATAGAAAGGGCTGGGATGTGGCTGAGTGGTGGAGCACCCCTGGTTCAATCCCCAAGACTGGATGTTTTCTAAGAGACCAACCCCCAGCAAAGCAGGATTGAAAGGGAGCCTCTGGCCTAAGGAGAGACAGAAAGCTTTCTCCCCAGAATCGGGACCGGGCAACGCTGCTCTGGCCACTGCGTCCGGCATCACGTCCAAGGCCCTTCCCAGCCAGAAGCTCAGGGAAGAGGCGAGAGGCCTGCGTGCGAGAGGAAGGGGAGGGGCCCATCCACCCTCCACACGATGACGCGGCAAGAGGGTCCCAGGCGCGTGCAGAACCCACTGGACTGAGGAGTGACCCAGAAGCCACAGGTCCACGCCACCCCACAAAGCCGTGGTTCCCACGGGTAGCACTCAGCCACTGGAGATGAACACGCACCACCTAAACCTACCAAGGAAACAGCAGATCAACTTAGGATATGCACAGGATCCGTGCGCTCAAGGTGACAAGGTATCGCTGAAGAGACTGAAGAGACTGGACCGGCCGGCGAGACAGACCGTGTCCGTGGTGGGAGGCGCAGTTGTGTTGGGCGACAGACTTTCCCACCTCCCCAGATAGCCACGGCCATCTCAGTCAGCATCCAAGTCAAAATCAGTGCGTTGGCTCTGAACTCTATGGGGAAACACGGGGCACTCAGAATGGTCAGCCAACCTCCATGGAGGACGCGCTTACTGCATTTCAAGATTCAATTTAAAGCTGCGAGTCAATCGAGTCAGCGTGCGGCAGCGTGAGCGCGGGCTTGGCGCAGAGTGGAGAGCGCTGGGGGCCAGGCCTCGGGAGCACGTGCCCGGGGGCTCAAGGGCCGGTGGGCGCCCAAGGGCTCTCCACTCTGCAACAGAAGCAGCAGAAGGCCCTCCACCCGCAAAGTGACCAGGAGACTGCAGGACAGACGCAGCGGTGGGACCAGGAGACAGAGACAGGTATGTGAGGGAACTGGGGGCTTGAGCCAAGCAGGCTTCCAGGAGCGTGGAGGGAAAAGGACAGACGGACCTGACAATTTTTCCAACAAGAGCCGTCAATTGGCTTGGTGTATCTTCCTCCCTTCTGCTTGTCATGATCATTCAGCTAAAATTTGGGGGCCAACAGAGGTGAGGCAAAGAACCTTACCCCCACCCCGCTGGTACCTCTCCACAGGTGTGGCTGTATACTGGACCAGTAGTCAATGACGGGGTAAGATCCAATTACAATGGTACCAACCTAAGACAGGAGGCTGACGCCCTGAGGTCAGCTCATCTGAAGACGGGTAAGGACCATATGTAGTATTGGACAACCTAAGGCAGGCACGGTCCCTAAGCCACATGCTTGTTGTTTAAACAGAGAGGGGGAGATGTTGAGAGCCACAGCCAAAGGGGCCCCAGCAAACTTCCAGCTGCCAGCAAACTTCCAGCTGCCGGCTGATGATTGGCTCACAGCGGCCCCAGCAACATCTAGCTGATTGGCTCCTCCACGGAGCTGCTCATTGGGCTGTTTCCCTGCCCTTTCAGACCACGGAGCTGCTCATTGGGGGACTTCTTTGGCTCCGCCCATGTGACCCAGCCAATCGGCCTCAAGAGCAGGAGGATTGTGGGAGGTTGAGAGGCTGTTGTGTGGGTGAGAGGCTTGTGGAAGCCGGTGGTGGAAGTTGGGCTCTGAGGGTTTTTTCCTGAGGAGCTGTTTTGTTTGGCGTTTGTAGTTCTAAAAATAAAGTGAGTTTCTTTTGACAAGTGGCTCCTGAATTGTGCCCAGCCAGACTGCGGCAGATCAACACCAAGGAAACTGGTAAGAGCCAGGCTCAGCGGAGCACTCTACAATCTCAGCAGCTCGGGAGGCTGAGGCAGGAGGACAGCAAGTTCAAAACCAGCCTCAGCAACTTAGCGAGGCCCTGAGCAACTCAGTCCTAAATTTAAAAATACCAAAAAAGCCTGGGAGTGTGGCTCAGTTGTTAAGTGCCCCTGAGTTCAATCCCCAGCACCAAAATGAAAAAAGACTCCATTAAGATTAAAAGCTGAGCCACCAGCAGAGAGGAGGTTTGCAGAGTGCACACACACACACACACACTCTCACACACACACTCTCACACACACTCACATACAGAGCACATGCACACACAGCACACACTGAATACACACATGCATACACTCACACACAGCACACATACACAGCCACACACAACACACACACTTACACACACGCGTGCACACACTCACACACAGCACACACACACAGCTACACACAGCACACACATGCACACACACAGCCAAACACAGCACACACATGCACACACACTCTCACACACAGCACACACATGCACACACACACACAGCACACATACACAGCATACATAGCCACACACAGCACACACACATGCACACACTCACACACACACATGCACACACACTCACATACACAGTGCACACACATGCACACACATGCATACACAGTGCACACACATGCACACACACATACACACAGCATACACACATGCACACATTCACACACACATGGACACAGACTCATACACAGCACACACTCAGCCACACACAGCACACACACATGCACACATTCACACACACATACACACACTCTCACACACAGTGCACACACATGCACACACACATACAGAGCACACGCACACACAGCACATACACATACACACTCACAAATACACATGCACACACACTCACACACACATGCACACACACTCACACACACTTACACACACATGCACACAGACTCACACACAGCACACACACAGCCACACACAGCACACACACATGCACACACTCACACACACATACATACGCTCTCACACACAGCACATGCACACACACGTGCACACACATGCACACACACAGCACATGAACACACTCACACACACAGGACACACACAGCCACACTCACACACACACTCACACACACATGCACACATACACACACACACACTCACACACACACACTCACACACACACTCACACACACACACTCACACACACACACAGAATATGTAAAGAACACACACAGCACATGCACACACACACGTGCACACACATGCACACCCACAGCACATGAACACACTCACACACACAGGACACACACAGCCACACTCACACACACACTCACACACACATGCACACACACTCACACACACACACAGACTCACACACACATGCACACATACACACACACTCACACACACACTCACACACTCACACACACACACAGAATATGTAAAGAACACTGGCACATTAATCATAAGGACACTAACGACCTGATTGAAGAAACCCGGGCAGAAGGTGTGAATCGACTCTCACTGTAGAACCACGGTGTGACAGACACGAGGGGACGCCCCACGCTCAGCCGCTAGGGGACATGGGTGCCGCCATGCCCAAGCCCAGGTGCTGAGGGCACGGGGTGAGGACTGGCTCGGCCCTGGCTGAGGGGAGGGAGCACCGCGCAGCCCTGGGCGGGCACTGACCCAGGGCACAGGACACCTGTTCCCACGCAACCCAGGACCCGGGTCCCTGGAGCGCTCTTGCTCGTCCCTGAGACCTGGAGACGCCCAGGGGTGGCAGCAGGAGCCTGGGTCCACATTGGGTCCAGGCAACAGAGCCCCACTGGGCAGCGTGGAGGGGGTCGGCCACAGACGTGCATGACAGGGAGCCAGGAGCCGCCAGGCACAGAGGACACCTGCCTCCTCCTGGTGTCTTGGTAACAGGTGACAGTGACAGCCCCCGGCAGCACAGCCAAGGGCACTAGGAAAGGGACCCCAGTGCTCCGTCCAGACCCAGGTGGGCTGCAGGGCGGGCCCCTCCAAACTCATCGACTGCCCCGAGAGGACCACTGGGCTCACACTAGCCTGTCCCCCCCCCAAAGCCAATTCCAAACACGACAGGACGGCAGAGGCCTGGTCAGCGGGTGGAGGGCATCGTGCGCAGCTGGTGGGCAGTGGGGCTCCCTCTGTAGGTTCCAGACCAGCCCCTGGGGTGCACGATGGTCTGCAGAAGGAAGGCCCAGTGGAGGCCACAGTGGGCGGGGAGCCTGAGGGGCAGCATGTCGTCTTGGACATGCTGGAGACAATGCTGTATGGGCAGTGACAGTCCCAGCAGCTGCCACAGCCCCTCAACAAACTTCTCCTGGAGAACTCTGGGTACTGGCCAGGTGCTGTCCACAGTGCCCTCATCTGTTGTCCAATGTTGTCCCGGCAAGAGGAGGGGCTACTGTCCACAGAATGGCCTGTGCTGCCCTCATGCAGAGCCCCAGGCTCCCGGGGGACAGAGTGCCCGAGCTGCAGGGGACCTGGTGTGTCCCTACCCACCCCAGCTCAGTAACCCACTGCGGCCACTGAGCAATGACCTCCCGGGAACATGGCGGCCAGCCCGTTCCCAGCGCACGTCTGCCAGGCAGATAGGGCCCTGGGGCGCTTCCCAGTGGGGGACTCTACAGGGTGGGCTGGCCTGGGGGGGCAGTGGGCGGGGACTGCACAGGACCCCAGGGCACGTGGGGGGCGAGCAGCCTCAGGAGGCCGCAGGCTTGAGGATGGGGCAGGACCCAGCCTTTCTGGCGTGGTGACCCACTGGTGACCACCTCGGAGCAGCCAGACACCGTCCCTCACCATCTCCAGCTCGAGTCACCCTCCTAGGCTCCCCTAGAGCACGAGTCTGCTCCCACCCTGTGTCCACAGCAGGAGAGGAAGACTTGGGTGGTCAGTGAGTTTATTGAGCCCAAGAGGAGCTGAGAGGGGGAGGACAAGGCCGGTGACCCAGACGGCAGGTGTGACTCGGGGAGTCAGGTCAGTGCGTGGACACAGGGAAGACCTGTCCTGGGCTGTCCAGTCACCTCACCCTGCTCAGGGGCAGACTGCGGGTGGTGAGGGGCCCTGCTATGGAGGGGCCTGAGCCCGCTGGCCCTGGGGACATGGCCGGTCAGCAGCAGGACCTCTGGCCCAAGGAGACACCACAGCAGGCCGGGCGGCAGCAGGTGGGGCGGCAGAGCAGGGACACGCAGGAGGCTGGGCGGCAGCAGCTGGGCTGGCAGGAGGAGGCACAGCAGGAGGAGACGGGCACGCAGCAGGCGGGTCTGCACACGGGGCGGCAGAGCAGGGACACGCAGGAGGAGGGTCTGTAGCAGCAGACGGGCTTGCAGCAGACGGGCACGCAGCAGGACGGCTGGCAGGGGGAGGAGCTGCAGCAGTCAGACTGGCAGCTAGACTGCTGGCAGCAGGAGGAGGAGGCTCCAGAGCAGATGGGCACACAGCAGACGGGCTTGCAGCAGATGGGCTTGCAGTAGAGGGACACACAGCAGGACTGCTGGCAGGGGGAGGATGAGCAGCAAGAGGGCTCACAGCAGGACTGCTGGCAGGGGGAAGAGGAGCAGCAAGAGGGCTCACAGCTAGACTGCTGGCAGCAGGAGGAGGAAGCCTCAGAGCAGAGGGGCACACAGCACACGGGCTTGCAGCATACAGGCTTGCAGCACACGGGCTTGCAGCAGAGGGACACACAGCAGGATGGCTGGCAGGGGGAGCAGCTGCAGCAATCAGACTGGCAGCTAGACTGCTGGCAGCAGGAGGGGGTGCAGGAGCTGGTGCAGATTGATTGGCAGCAGGGTCTGGACACTGGGGTGCAGAGGAGGGACAGGCAGGGGGCTGGGGCGCAGCAGCTGGGGGCGCAGCAGGGGGGCTCGCAGCAGCTCTCTGGGCAGTCGTCCACCTGCCAGGAGGAGTCGGGGCAGGAATCGCAGGAGCCGGGCTGGCAGACGCGGCTGCCATAGCTCAGGTCGCTGGAGCAGAGGGACATGGTGGAGGTGGCCATGGTGGGTGTGCTGGAGGAGGGTGGGTGAGTGTGTGGGTGAGTGTGCTGGAGGAGGGTGGGTGTGTGGGTGAGTGTGTGGGTGAGTGTGTGGTGAGTGTGAGCAGCCCGGGCTGCGGGGCTTTTATAGGGCTCCCTGCCTGGCCCGCAGCGCCCTCTTCCCCGTGGTGAGGACGCGAGCCCTCGTTAGCTTCCGCGTGCTGTTGGCTCCGAGGTGCAGCTCAGCTCGTAAAGGCCCTGGGCCTGCGTGGGCAGCCGACGCCCCGCACCCTTCCCTGGCCCCGTGGGGGAGGCACAACTGACCAGAGCTTCCAGCAGAGAAGCCCACCGTCCCGTCGCCCCTGGCTGGTGGCTGGAGGGCTGTCGGAGGGCTGTGAGGTGGACGTTTCTAGCAGGGACTTGGTGCTCCCTGGTGCAGGAAGTCCCCGTGCTGCAGCGGGCGGCAGCACTTGTCCCCACAGGCCCCCTCGCTGGGCAGTGCCCACCAGCAGCCCATCTGACCTCCGGGCTCAGCCCAGTGTCTGCCTCAGCCTCCCCCCTCGGGGGCCTTGACCAGCACCCAGCTGGGCGGCTGTGACGCTTGTGACGCCCGGCCCTCCTCTGCAGCCCCCAAAGCCCCATGCAAACAGCAAGGGCAGACTTCGTGTCTCCTGTCCACTTCCTGGGTCGCTGGATGGTCCCTTGGGTCCCCAGTTGGACCCCTGAGAACCGAGGTCCCTGACTTCTCAACTGACAGCCACCAGCCACCAGGTCCTTCTGGTTGTCACTGAGAAATGCGTCAAACCCTTTGCGTTCACCATGGGACCCTCCGTGTGTGACCAAGACGCCGCTCACCTCCCGCCCCCCGCGGCTGGAAAGGCAGGAGCAGGGGAGGGGAGACCCTGCAGCCCTGGGAGGGGTCCCCAGCACACAAGGTGGAGCAGGCCGGTGGTGGACTGAGGGCCTGCTGGTGCCTGGCGCCAGGCCCCGTCTCCTCTGGGGGTGGACCCCTAGGATCCTGGGCAGGAAGAAGGCGGGGTGCGGGGAGCTCACTGCGGGCTGACTCGTCTGCGTGCAGGTTGGAGGAGAGAACGGGGTGCTCTGCAGGCTGGCCGGCCTCTGGGGTCCAGGCACTGACAGACGGCATCGGCTGCCCTGGGAGCCACCGTCTGTGACAGCACTGTGTCCCACACACCCCTGCTCAGGACAGCTGGGACAGGGCCTTGGTGGAGCGCATCCACCTCAGGTCTGGGGGCCGGACACTGAGGGTGGAGGGGAGCCCGGGCGAGGGAGGCCCACGCACTGGGCTGAGGGGCAGCAGAGCCAGAGGGCAGCGGGTTGGACGGAACCTGAGCCCTCTGCAGCCCCGCCCCAACTGTGTGGGCAGATGTCACGCTGGGCAGGGGGGAACCGAGAAGCAGAAAGCCACCGTGAGCCACCCGAGCTTGGGAGACGTCACAGCCATGTCCGAGAGGCCACCAGGAGTCACAGTCACCAGGAAACAGGCCGAGGACCCAGACAGTAGGACAGACCCACAGTCGTCCGGCTCCGAGCCAGGAAACCTGAGGGTCACGCGTCTTAAGAAAGCAGAGGTGACGATGGGGACTTCCAGCATCACACTGAAGCAGGGCCACGGAGGACGCGGTCGCTAGAGAGCGCGAGGACCGTACCTGTGAACGGCCGGTGGCCTGATGTCAGGTGGCCAGGCGGGAGGGACTGTGAGGGGTGGGGACACGGCCAGATGGAGCTGAGAGGAAACGGGGGACGTGACCAAGTGGAGGTGCGGCCCTGGGAGAGGAGGGGACCGTCCTGACGAAGCCTCCCCGCAGCCCTACGTGGACACCGCGGGCAGCAGCCTGAGGGCCTCACGGTGCGTCTGGAGAAGGCCCAGGGAAGCCCAGAGCCACTGCCCACTGCCCACGAGGGCTCGTGGGGCGAGGAGGTGGCCCGCCACACGCCACACTCCTGTGCCCTGCCACACCCACAGGAGCCGGGTGGGCCCCCGTGGGGCCTCCTCGGGGAGCGGGGACGTGGCCTGACCAGGGCTGCGAGCTCCTCGCCTGGACGCCGAGAGTGAAAACCCAGAGGGCCCTGGGCAGCCCAGGCCAGGCCCTCCCGGCCACGCCAGGACCACGAGGCCCCTGTGACACTGGGGGTACCTAGGTGCACCCTGACCGGCATGAGGACACGGCGCCACTCAGCGGGAGGGCACCGCTCGGCCTCCGCAGGCCCTGGGTTCTGTTTCCGCACGCGCACACACACGTGCCAGGTGTGCGGGGTGTGCGCGTGTCCGGGCCTGAACCACACAGGACGGGGGCACATGGGCAGAGACGGCTGGCAGCGATGGACGTCAGGGACAGGGACAGGCCCGGGAAGAGCAGCACAGCAGGGAGAGGGGTAAACATGACAGATACGTGACAGACGGGCGGTGGCCACAGGCCGATGGTGGCTGGGTGGGTGGACCCGCGAGGACCGCGGGCGGCGGAGGAGCCGTCGGGCAGGACCACCGGGGGCTGCGCATTCTGAGGCTTCCCCTGACATTATTGGCAAGTCGGGTCAGGACTGTGCCCTTCTGTGTCCTCTGTGGGTTTGGCAGAGCAGGGAGGACACGAGGCTCCGAGAAGCACGCCCCGCAGGGGACAGGCCACCCTGCCCTCCAGTTGAGCTCTCCTCCCGACGGGCGTCCTCCTCACGGTCCCGTTGGTGCTTTTTCCTGCGGTACAAGGGACCTTCCTGTTTGCAATGCCCCCGCCACAAGCCGCAGCACAGCCGATGCCCCAGAGCCAGAGTGACCTACGGGGACACGTGGGCTGAGCCCAGCTACTGTGCTGCTGGCCACAAGACGACCACCAACGAGTCAGCAGCACGGGTTCAACGGGCGACTTCACACAGAAACAGTCTCCAGGTTCCAGCTGCTCGCTGAGGGCAACGTGGCCAGGGGTGGCAAGGGCACCAGAGGTGGCAAGGACACCAGAGGTGGCAGGACACCGCAGGGCACGCTCTCCCGGCGTGCGGCAGGCCTCCAGCCCGAGCTCTGTGGAGCCGGGGACTTGCTTTAAGGTAGCAGCATTGGGGAGCCACCTAGCCCAGGGCTGGGAGGCGGGCTTGGAAGGCCAGGTGGGAGAGGCTGGTGGAGGCCACTGGGCAGCCTGGGGGTCAGTGGAGCAGACAGAGAAGGCAGCAGAGGGGCGAAGGGGAAGGCTGTGGCAGGCCGGCACACTGGGCTCTGCAGGTTCAGAACCTGGACCCGCGGCCCAGGAGGCTGCCTGGTGCCCCAGCGGGGAGGGCACAGCCCACCATCCTGGCCTGGGGATGGAGGCCTGCTGCCCCCAGGCACAGGGACAGGGTGGACAGGGCCACAGGGAGGAGGCAGGGAGAGGTGGAGGGATGAGGACCTGCGCAGGGCTCAGGGCAGGCTCAGGCTGTCCAGCTCCACACAGCCGTGAGGCCCCGGGCAGGGCACCAGGCGCCCTGGACTCTGGGTGCTCAGTACAGGTGCCTAGCGTCCTGCAGTGGTGACGGGCCCTGGGGAGGGGTGTGAGCCTCAGGTGACACCTCTGTGCCCAGGCTTCCCTCCAAGGGAGACAGGCCCAGAAGCTGCTGTCCAGTGGCTGGAGGGTGCCCCACAGCCCAGGGTGGCCAGGCTCCTCCCACACACAACACCCCAGTACTCACTGCTCCCGGAACCCACTCCCGCTCCAGGGCCCGACGCTGGCAGGACATTAACGAGCTGGACAGCCTCCCAGGTAAACAAGCATCCCTGTGATGGCCAGGAGCCGGCCCAGCAACACGGAAGGAGAGGCTGTGGGCTGGGCACCACAGGGACCCGGCAGGTATAAAAGCCAGAGCCCAGAGCTCCCCACACACACCCACATTCACCCACACACCCACCCACACACCCACCCACCCTCCTCCAGCACACCCACCATGGCCGCCTCCACCATGTCCGTCTGCTCCAGCTCTTGCCCAGAGTCCTCCTGGCAGGTGGACGACTGCCCAGAGAGCTGCTGCGAGCCCCCCTGCTGCACCCCCAGCTGCTGCCAGCCCAGCAGTTGCCAGCCCAGTTGCTGCGCCCCAGCCCCCTGCCTGACTCTCCTCTGCACCCCAGTGAGCTGTGTGTCCAGACCCTGCTGCCAATCAGTCTGCACCAGCTCCTGCACCCCCTCCTGCTGCCAGCAGTCTAGCTGCCAGTCTGATTGCTGCAGCTGCTCCCCCTGCCAGCCATCCTGCTGTGTGTCCCTCTGCTGCAAGCCCGTCTGCTGTAAGCCCGTGTGCTGTGTGCCACTCTGCTCTGAGGCTTCCTCCTCCTGCTGCCAGCAGTCTAGCTGTGAGCCCTCTTGCTGCTCCTCTTCCCCCTGCCAGCAGTCCTGCTGTGAGCCCTCTTGCTGCTCATCCTCCCCCTGCCAGCAGTCCTGCTGTGTGTCCCTCTACTGCAAGCCTGTCTGCTGCAAGCCCGTCTGCTGTGTGCCCATCTGCTCTGGGGCTTCCTCCTCCTGCTGCCAGCAGTCTAGCTGCCAGTCTGACTGCTGCAGCTCCTCCCCCTGCCAGCCGTCCTGCTGCGTGCCCGTCTGCTGCAAGCCCGTCTGCTGCTACAGACCCTCCTCCTGCGTGTCCCTGCTCTGCCGCCCCGTGTGCAGGCCCGCCTGCTGCGTGCCCGTCTCCTCCTGCTGTGCCTCCTCCTGCCAGCCCAGCTGCTGCCGCCCGGCCTCCTGCGTGTCCCTGCTCTGCCGCCCCAGCTGCTCCCGCCCGGCCTGCTGTGGTGACTCCTTGGGCCAGAGGTCCTGCTGCTGAGTGCTCTTCCTGGGCCACCCAGAGCTGGGAGCCCACTGCCTCCTGCACCCAGGCTTCTGTACTAGTGTCCCCCCCTGAGCCTGCAGGGACTGGTGGTCACCTGCCTCCTACTCCTGTTTGGGTAGCTCCATCCCTTAAGGACTGACTGTCCAGTCCCTCCATGGCCATCTCTGCACTACCAGGTGGACGGCAGCCCCAGCAAGGCCATCCGGCTCCTGCTGGCCGGAAGCCGCATGTGGCCTAAGACTCTCCTGCAGCTGGCCGCTCAGCCCTCCCACCCCAGGCCTGCGAAGAGCCCCCGCTGCCCGCTCTGGGTCCGGCTGCTCCCCGGGCTCTGAGCCTCTCCCCCTCTGGCCCTCACTCTGGGAGCCTGTGGGACGCCCCAATAAAGTCTCCCACGAACACGCAGTCAGCCGTTCTGCCGTTCAGTGAGCGCCTCCTGCCGTCCCACACGGGGCCACCCCCAGGTGCACCCACCCCCCTTGCCCCCTCAAGGGCCTCTGTGAAGCCTGCACCACCCCAAGCCTGGTGCCCAGGGACAACCATGAATTCTGGGACACCAAGGGTGTCTGACCTGAGGGTACCTGCCCTGGGCAGGGTCCCCCTTCAGGAGTGATTGCCCCAGCCCACTCCAGCAGGCAAGTGCCTCAGGCCCATGCCCGACCAGACCAGGCAGGAGAGCCATCCTGGGCTGCTGGCACAGCTGACCCCTGGCTGGCCTCTGAGAATGTGAATTTGGGGAGGGTCCCCACCTCTCTGCCCCCCTGGCCTGAACCATCCGCACTAATGACCCGGTTGGACGCTTGCTCCCCACTGAGGCTGGCAGCAGAGGGTCTGTGTCTTCAGCCAGCTCACCCAGAGACCACTGTTGAGAGCCACAGCCAAAGGGGCCCCAGCAAACTTCCAGCTGCCAGCTGATGATCCAGCTGCCAGCAAACTTCCAGCTGCCGGCTGATGATTGGCTCACAGTGGCCCCAGCAACTTCTAGCTGATTGGCTCCTCTGCGGTGATGTTCATTGGGCTGTTTCTCTGCCCTTCAGACTGCCGGCTGATGATTGGCTCACAGCGGCCCCAGCAACATCTAGCTGATTGGCTCCTCCACGGAGCTGCTCATTGGGCTGTTTCCCCGCCCTTTCAGACCACGGAGCTGCTCATTGGGGGACTTCTTTGGCTCCGCCCACACGACCCAGCCAATCAGCCTCAAGAGCAGGAGGATTGTGGGAGGTGGAGAGGCTGGTGTGGGTGAGAGGCTTGTGGAAGCCGGTGGTGGCAGTTGGGCTCTGAGGGTTTTTGCCTGAGGAGCTGTTTTGTTTGGCGTTTGTGGTTCTAAAAGTAAAGTTAGTTTCTTTTGACAAGTGGCTCCTGAATTGTGCCCAGACAGACTGCGGCAACCACACCCCGCGGGCAGCACAGCTCGGGCCGGGAGCTCGGACCCGTGGGGACCCAGCCCAGAGCTCTCTGTGCGCCAGGCCTGTCCTGCCTGCTGGGCCCCTCGCCTTCCCCTCTAGGATCACCGTCTCCCTGTTGGTCTGGCTTCCTGCTGTCACCCAGGGACGTCCGGCAGCGGAGGGACCTCTGACCTTGGACAGGAGGAAGGGCCTTGTGGCCTGGAGCCACTGAGATGCCAGCTCCTGGCAGTACAAGATCTGACCAAGACCCCGGTTCAGATCCACAAGGAAGACGTGAAGACGGTTAATGAGCCAGGAGGGAGTCAGCGATTCACAGAAGCCATAAGCAATTCTTGCCCAACAGTCAAAACTCAGCCCCAGCGACGGTCAGCCTCACCAAGCTCAGAAAACACAATTGAGCGTGGACCCGGGGCAGCGGTGTGGAGGTGGGCACGGCTGCACAGGCCTGTGAGCAAGGCCCACTCCCGGGAAGGCTGCCATCTGGGAAGTGCCCTGGCGGGTCCCACGCTCTGGGGCTGCACTCGTAGGAAAGCCTCCTGGTGTGCATCCAATGCTTTGCCGGATTCCCACCCTGGACATGGAGAGGCACAGCCCTGCTGCAGGGGAGAGTGTGTCACCACAGGGAGTGAGTCGGTGGGCGGTTAAGGGGCAGCGCCTGGGCAGCCACCCGCTGGGCACATCTCAGTGCCAGGTGTCGCAGATGGAAACAGAGTGAGGCCGGTTCAAAGGTCACGACACCACCCAGAGCTCGGTCAACGCCATGGACGTCTGTATGACTATCAGAACAGCCGCGGGTGACCACCCGGCCTGGCGGTGCCCTCCAGGGCTCGGGGCCACAAGGGTGGAGACGGGCAAAGCTGGCTGGCAGGAGCACCCTGCGCAGGGCACCCCGGTTCTGTCTTCCTGTGGCTGAAACGTGGGAACACCATCTAGGGAGGTGCAGGTGCCGCGGAGCCGCAGCCTAGGTCGCCTGACCAGGAGCTGGGAGGGGCTCCGGGCTGAGGGGAATGAAATCATCGCGGCTCAGAATCGGGATGAATGGGGTCTGTGCTCATCAGCTGGGGCTGGGAGAGCAGTGGGTCCTGAAGACGCTCAGAGACCAGCGAGTGAAGAGGACGGAGTTAGAGACGGAGGAGAACGTCCAGGAGGCGCCGAGAGACATTGACAAATGGAAAGAAAGATGCATAAAACCAGAGACTGCACTTTTAAACTCCTACCAAAATCAGAACCAGGGAAAATCTTAGAGAAATAAGCAAATCAAATTAAATATATGAAAATAAATGATAACAAAATATCAAAACTATCCTATTCTGTAAATAGACAAAAATGTCTGATCATGAGAAAAAAATCACGTCTTTACGCCAACACAACTGGGATTTTAGATGAGAAGGTTCCCAGGAACCTATGGCCACTAAAATGGCCACAAAGAAGAGCAGGAGCATGGGCATCCAGGACCTGAGAGCCAGACAGGCGGCCAGCTGGACCCCGCAGCCCAGCGGGGACTCCACCTGGTCTGTCACTTCATCTCCATCAGGAAGACAATGACCGGCCTGGGCATTTGTTCAGGAAAGAAAGCCCCATCGTCCACTCGATGCACAGGGACTGACCACGGGGAGCTCAGCGCCCAGTGGGAACTGTGGGGGCGACAAACAGCCCCTTTCGCTTCCTCCCTGAGTGGACGCCCCTCTCCCCTCCTGTCTCACTGCTCGGCCAGGAGTTCCAGCGCTGGGGGACAGACGTGGTGAGGCCTCCCGCCCTCTCCTGGCCCCACAGGGACAGCTGTGGCTTGTTCTGAGGCCAGCTGTGAGTGGTCGCAGCTGCCTCTGAAAGGCTGAGGATCTCCTCCCACATGGACTTCAGCAGGAGTGGACGTTGGGTGGTTAGATGCTTCATGTGCATCTATGTGAATAAGGTGCGTCCCTGTTGGGGGCCGTGGTCAAGTCAAGATGGCGCCTGGCAGTTTGCCAGGAGGAGTGGTTTGTGAAGCAACGCCACCGAGCCCTTTAGATGGTGGGGATTCCTATTTGGCTGACTGCTGTATCTAGATGATGCTGATTGAGTCAAGCTGTGTGCAATCAGTTAGGTATATATACCTCTGCTCCCACTTCAACCTTCAAGTCGCTTGTCACCTCCCGGTTATTTGGCCCAGCTGGACTGCGGCATGTCCCACCTGGCCATTCCTACGGGGTGCAGGGCCACCTCCCTGGAACTCACATGGTCGTGGGGTGCTGCCTCTCTAACCTGTGGCCATGGTCAGCTTGCTGTGGGGGAATCTGCATCTACACCATTGGAAGACGAAGCCGGGTGTAGCTCCGTGGGAGAGCGTTTGCCAGGCCCTGGACTCTGCCCCAGCACCACCGAGGGCACCCCACACATGCACACGTGTGCACACACACACACACACCTGCCATAGCTCATGAACAAAGCCAGTGAGGATCAGGTCCTGAAATCAACATAGAGACCTGTGGCGTTTCTGCACACTCCCAATAAAACCATCCAAAAGCAGAATCAATAGTCCCCACGACAGCAAAAAAGTACTTAGGAAGGCTGGGATGTGGCATTGGTGAGTGCTGGCCTGGCGTGCCCAGGCCCTGGTTCAATCCCCAGCCCCACAAAAGAAAAAACATCTCAAGGATAAGTTTACCCAAGGAAATGGAAGATGGCTCTGACTGGCGAAGGGCCTGAAGACACAGAGAACAGAAAGGGAAACACAAACTCGAACCAGACGGTCAGCACCGGTGGGATGTCCACGTGGCCCAGGGCAGCCCACAGCTGGGGCAGTGCCTGAGCTCCAATCTTACTTGAAGAAAAACAGGAAAACGTGGTTTTCCTTTCTTGTAAAGACTCTGCCCAGGGTGGAGCCGGGTGTAGCTCCGTGGGAGAGCGTCTGCCAGCCTTGCCCAGATTCTAAACCCCGTGGAACCACAGTGTTCCCTGAGTCCCCTGAGGTCCAGGGCCGGTGGCACCACAGGTGACGCTACGATGATCGAGGGACGGGCGGAGCCTGAAGCAGAATAGGCACCAGACGTGAACCCCAGCCCTGGGTGAGCAGGGGGGAGGACTGTGCCGTCCATCAATGCACGGGGGACCACGCGTCCACTCAGAAAGAGAGAACCTCACACCAAGAAAACAAGTCGGGTACCAGGAACTCAGACCCCAGCACGACCTGAGCTGAGGGCCACTGCAGAGAGCTGCCGCTGGGTGGTCTGGGATGGCTCTGGGCCTAAGAGCACAGGCCCCTCGGGCCACCGAAGCCAAGACTGACGGACAGGATGATGCGGAAGGAGGGAACGAGCACAGGACCTGTCCCGGGCACCCAGAGACGCCTCGGCCCACCAGCCGCCCTCCGAGCCTCAGGACGAGCCGCCCAGGGCCAGGCTCTCTGCCCACAGGGAACCGTCCTGGGCACACGCCCCCAGGGGGGACCGAGGACGACCGCACAGGTGCACGCACAGAGACTGGCCTCCCCGGGCAGGTCGGGCGGGAGTGGGGCAAGCCCCGGCCCAGCCCTCCGCTGTGGCGCGACCCCGCTGAACAGGGTCCTCTAAGCTCTCCAGATGGGACCAAAAGGGACTGTCTCACAGCCGTGAACCCCCCTCCATGAGTGGTCTCTGAACGCTGTGTGTAGGACCCACTGGGTGGAGGTGATGTGGTCTGGGTATGAGGTGTCCCCAGAAGCTCATGTGAGGGACACTGCAGGAAGGTCAGAGGTGAGGGGACGGGTCAGGAGCCTTGGCCGAGTCACAGTGCACCCATCCCTGACAGGGACCAGCGGGGCGGTGCCTGGAGGGGGCGGGTAGTGGCCACAGGAGGTGGGTCCCTAGGAGCTACCCTTGGGTTTACATTTTGTCCGTGGTGAAGGGTGTGTGTCTGCTTCCTGGTGTCCTGTCCTGAGCTGTCCGGCCTCATCTGCAGCCCGGAGCTATGGAGCTGGCCATCCGTGGATGGAGACCTCTGAAACTGTGAGCACCAGATAAGGACTTCCTCCTCCAAAA